TTTATGAAAATTTGTAGCTTCTTCTAGTGTAGAGAAAATATGTATGTCATGTGTAGTTTTATCTGCTAAATCATTGCCCAAACTAAGGGCTCCAGGCAATCCTGTATGTGCTCTGATATGTCCTATAAAGAATGGATCTTTTCTGTCCCAGATTAGACTTTGTATAGTGGAAAACAAAGAGAAAACAGTAGAGGAAGGGGAAATCCTACCAGCATCTTCAAGGGATACTATAGCATTAACTATATACTGACTATCAGAAAATAAATTAAATACAGAATCTTTAAACATCACAAAAGCTTGTAATACTGCATACCTTTTGAGCTGATTTTTTGGGTACTAAAAATGTAAAAGTTTGATCAGGGGTAACTACTGCTGCTGTACCATTATTTGACCCATCAGTGAATATATTTGGAGCATTCATGATAGGTGTTTTTCTTGTCATTTTTGGAAAAATTACAGGATGCGATGACCAAAAAGACAACAAAGGATTAGATGGTAAGTGGTTATCAAATGAAACATTAGATTTGCATATGATTATTGCCCAAGTATTTAACTCATTAGCTAACTCATCAATTTGATCCATAGTATATGGAGTAATAATTTTATTGGGAGAAATTCCAAACACTCCCTTTGCTGCTTTTATTCCTTTGAGTATTAATTGTCCTACAGCCTCAGGATACCTAGTAAGAATAGTGTTAGGAGAATAAGATAAATGTATCCATAATAATGGACCTTCTTGCCAAAATACTCCTGTAGGAATATTTTTTGTTGGTAGTACAATAAATAATAAAGGCAAACTTATATCAATTCTATCCAAATGTATATTTTCCATATATGTTTCAATGATTTTTAATGCCTTTCTTGCTTCAGGCGTTAACATTCGGGGTGAATTTGGATCTGATGGACCTTTTAGGATATCAAATAAAGGTCCCAACTCTCCTGTTGGTATGCCTAGATAAGGTCTTATCCAATTTATGTCTCCTAATAACTTTTGAAAGTCGTTAAGTGATTTGAGTTGTTCTACTCGTATTTGAATTTTTGGTGGACGGACCATGGTTGAGGATAATAGAACTCCTAAATAATTAATTAGAAAATTTAATTGTACTTTATCTATTGCTATCTCTAGATTATAATTTTTTAATAAGTTTGTAAGTGTGGCATAACATTCTAGCAAAGCTTTTTTATCTTTGTGTGCTAATAATACATCATCCATATAGTGAAATATTTGTAGTTCAGGATTTTGATTTCTAAGTGGCTGGATTACTTTGTTAACATAAATTTGACACATAGTTGGGCTGTTAGCCATCCCTTGGGGGAGTACTTTCCATTCATATCTCTGATCAGGACCTTCATGGTTCAGTGCAGGGATAGTAAATGCAAAACGTGGACTATCCTCAGGATGAATTGGAATTGAAAAGAAACAATCTTTAATATCTATAACTAAAACATACCAGGTTTTTGGTAAAGCAGACAATTGGGGAATCCCCTATTGAGCAGGTCCCATAATAACCATCTCATTATTAATGGCTCTTAAATCTTGCAATAATCTCCACTTACCAGATTTCTTTTTTGATGACAAAAATGGGAGTATTATGGGGAGATACGGAAGGTTGTATATGTCCCTCTGCTAATTTTTGTTTGACCAGGTCATGGGCTGCTTGTATCTTTTCTTTAGTCAGGGGCCACTGAGGAACCCATACTGGTCTTTCTGATTTCCAAGTAATTTTTTATTGTCTCAGTGACCCCTCCCGAAAACCCAATCCATGTCTGTCTGTTCCTTGATCTATTTGAATTGGTGCTGCTATACCTTGTTCTTGTTCTCCTAATCTTTTTTCTTTCCTAAAACCTTGTCAAGCCATAATAGTGACGCATTTGAATTGATGTTATTTGTTAATGCTAGTCCTAACTGATCTAGGACATCTCGTCCCCATAAATTTATAGGAATCCAATACATATGGCTGTATAGTTCCCTTACATCCTTTAAAATCCTTCCAATCTAATACCATCGCACTTCTATGGGGATTAGTCGCCACTCCTAGCCCTCGAAGCATTTGAGTGGCTTGTTGTAATGGTCAATGTTTTGGCCATTCTTGATGAGAGATGATGCTAAGGTCTGCACCTGTATCCAGTATCCCATTAAATTCATGTCCTTGAATATTTAGTTTTAGCAGGGGCAAGAATCTAAATTTAAAGAAAGCATAACCCAATCTACACCTGTGGAGCCTAATCCCCTGGAACCTCTTTCTACAGTATGACTGGAAAATTTATCATGTAGGCTGGGTATTATTAATAACTGTGCTATTCTATCTCCTGGTGAAATTACTGATATATCCCTTGGAGAACTGGCTATAATTTTTATTTCACCTTCATAATCAGGATCAATTACCCCAGGACTTGTCATAAGTCCTTTTTAGTGTAGTAGAACTGCATCCCAATAACAAGTCTACTGTTCCTTGGGGAAGAGGTCCTTTTAATCCTGTGGGAATGATTTGAACTCCCATCTCTGGAGTTAGTACTGTTCTGGCAGAGGTGCAGATGTCCAACCCTGCGCTTCCTCTGGTTTGTCTAGTGAGGGATCTAATGGATAATGTGTCCTGGGCACTACCCTGATGGTGTTGCTGGGTTCCTCCAGTGCCCCGTATATTTGTGGTCTTGAGCCCTGGAGCATTGGGCCCCCCTGTCCGTTTTTTGGCAGTGGAGCCCAATGCCTTTCTCCATGATATCGTGGGTAAACACCTGGTCCTTGTCTGTTTTTTGATAACAGAGTACCCTCTTTGAGGTCCTGTCTCAGGATCTCATCTATCAACTACGGGGGTTGGGGGCCTCCCAGCATATGGAGGTGGAGCTGTTTGTTGGACACTTATGCCCTCTGGTGATAGAAAGGTGTTAGTAACAGCCTCCTGTTGTAACTTCTCCCCTGATGGCTTTTCCTCCTTTAAATTTTCTTCCTCTGTCTGACTAGCTCGAGAGACCTTCTCTTTTACTTGATCTAACTTGTCTTCTACCATAGTCTGAACTGAAGGCATTGGACTAGGCAAACAAAATCGTATCATCATCCACAATGGCAATGTGCCAACTGGCAGAGTTCCTGGGTTTTTCTTTTCCCTCTCCCTTAAATCTTCACCATGATGGTCCCATTGTGATATATTCAACAACTCCTCCTTAAAAAGTCATGGGCTACATTTTTGTATTGTATCAACGTATGCCCTAACTGTTCTTGGTTTTACTGGGGTGCCTCCCTCCTCTAACAATTTACTTAACACTCTTTCGGTTTGTTTTTTACTAATTTCTGATCCCATATTTCTACTATAAAGATAACACAACCCACTAAGATAACACAAAACAAAACTGAAACAGAATGAAACAAAAATGGAACAAAAATTCATTATATCAGCCTTTCTATCCTCCTGAAATGTCCATCCATCCTTTCTCCCTATCTGTTCCTCAGACGCAATAGTTTTTCCTCAGTTGTGAGTGGTTTTTCTTCCGTCTCACTCATCTCCAGGGACAGGCAACTTAAAACAAAAGCGAAACAAAAGAAAGAAGAATCTTAAAATGGCTACCCATCCTCTCGCCCTGCCCTCAGGGGCGAGCAGTTTACCTTATCACTTACCCTCAGTCATTCCCCGTGCGAGCCACCAAATGCCACAGTCTGGCTGGGCACAATTCACCAGCCACTTGTCAAGCAGAAACGAACTTTATTTTTAGAACACATAGGACGCACCACACAAGCTCTTCAGGAATTCCCAACTGCCACCTCTGGCTTCTGGGGAGCCTCTCAACCCCCACTCCTCCCACTCTTGAGGCCGATTGGCTGGGTCATGTGGGCGGAGCCAAAAGAGTCCCCCAATGAGAAGCTCCGTGGTCTGAAAGGGCAGGGAAACAGCCCAATGAGTGTCACCGCAGAGGAGCCAATCAGCTGGAAGTTTGCTGGGGCCACTTTGGCTGTGGCTCTCAACAGGCCAGAGGCCAGCATGTGTGCAGCATGCGGAGGACAGACTGGCGCTCTGCCCGCAGCTTGGAGCCCCAGAACACACTGTCCACCTTTCTGACTTGGTTCTGGTCTCCCGCCAGGCCGCTCCTTTGGCCCTCGGGAAATTGCAGTCAGTTCTGTCAAAGAAGTGAAGCTGGCAAGGGCAGCGTGGGGCCCTCGGAGACCACGGTCGGCCCTGTTTGGCAGACCGGAGGCCAGAGGTGGAGGCACAGCTGGCAAATGGAGCTGTGAGACTGTGCAAGGGCAGTGGAGCCCGATGCCCACCCCTGCTGGCCGGTCCTCCCCTGGGAAGCTGGGGAAAGGGCACGAGATGGGCGCTGCCCTCTGACCCTCGCGGCTCCCCCTGTCCATCATTGAGCATAGATGTGCTGCGGACCCACCGTGCAGCGAGCATCATGCCAGACACGGAGATAAAGTGGCGAGCAAGGCCAGGTCCCTTGATTCATGAAGCTGACATTGGGCAGATAAGAGTATAGAGTCAGGGGAGATAAGTGTATGAAGAGACCTGAAATGATGTGGGGGAGTGAGCCACATGGATGGGGACAGGATTGGGGGAGGTTCTAGAAGGAACACAGAGGGAACTGGGTGTGCAGAGGCCCTAAGGTTGGCATATGCTTGCATTGGAGGGATGTCACAGAGGCCATGCATCTGGAGCAACAGGAGGGAGGGAGGGGGAAAGGGAGACAGGGGACCAGACTGGTTACGGAGGAAAATGCCATCTTGATGAGGACTTTGGTCTTTCCTCTATCAAGATAGGAACCCTGAGATGGTACTGAGCGCAGGAAGGGCGTGGCTTGACTTGGGTTGAACGGGATCCCTCTGGCTGCCTGGCAGAGGATGGACACATATGTGATGAGACTAGAGGTGCAGGGGCCAGGAGGAAACTCAGGGGACAGTCTGGGTGACCTGGCACAAGCTGAGCCCGTCATGGAGACTTGTGGGAGGGACAGGAGACAGGAGGCTCCCCAAGTCCTCCCCATGACCCCTGTCCATGGTCTCCCCGCAGCTAGAGAGGTACATCCAGATGAATCTGAGGTCAAAGCTGGCGCGGGCCCAGCAGCACATGGTCCAGAACCAAACGGCCGCCATGTTGGAGCTGGGCTCCGAACTCCTGAACGAGACCGTGGCCCGCACCTCCAACGTGGAAGCCAAGGTAACGGGCGGGTGGGGGGAACAAGCAAGCCCAGGCCATCTTGTCCTGACCTCTGTCTCTGGGTGAGGTCAGGTCTCTCCTGGGCCTCTAGCCCCTGGTATCTTCTCCCTAGTAAACCCTGTCCTAAAATTGTCACCCTCCAGGCCCAAAGGGGTGGGCAGACACTGGGCAGTGCCGGGTCTGCACTGGGCCCTGGGGAGGGGTGGTGCAGCACACCCCTGTCCTGGGGGCTCACACAGGAGAGGAAGAATCCCTGAGAGCTTGGTGCGGAGGACCCTCTGAGTGGCACAGCAGCAGAGAGGGATGGAGAGAGAGAGAGAGAGAGAGAGAGAGAGACAAAGGGTTGATGGAATGAGCAGCAGATGGGCACGTGTTGGCTGAGCCCCCACTGAACACCAGGCACCACTCAAGATGCCTGGCCCCAGTTTACAGCAGTGAGCAGAACAGGCAGGCTTACTCACTGGGGAGAGCGCGCCAGACAGGGAGAACGGCATGTGCAAAGGCCCAGGGGTGGGACTGTGCTGGCAGCTCCAGGAACAACCAGGAACCCAGTGTGGTGGAGTGACTGGGGGAGAGAGGCAGAGGAGGAGCAGAAACATGACAGAGGAAGACAAGTCATGTGGCATGTGGCCTGGGGCCTGGCTGGCCGGGCAAGGACCTGGCTTTTCTGTTTCCCAAAATGCGAGTCACAGAAGGCTTTGGAGTAGAGGCTGTATTTTGAAAGCCTGCATCAGGCTGCTCAGTAGGAAATAGATAGTAGGGGACAAAGGTGGGACCGGGGAACCCTTTAAGGAGGCTAGTATAGGACACTGGACAAGAGATGACAGAGACGGAGGCCATAGCAGTTGGTGGAGGGAAACCGTGGGGCTGTCAGCACTTGCTGGAGGACTGGCTGCGGGGGTCAAGGATACCTCTTCTGGGGCCTGAACAGCCAGAGGACAGTCCGTAGGGCCATGAGCGAGTGAGGTCACATGGCCACAGGTGTGAGTGACCTGTGGGTGTCGGTGGGTCCGCATGTTTCCCGAGTGGCAGGCCCAGGGCCTGCAGGTGGGGGCTGGGCAGGGCTCCCTAGGGCTCACCCAGCCCCGTCCCACCCGCTCCTGGCTGGGTTAGGTCCTGAACGAGACGTCGCGCATGGAGGTCCAGATGATGGAGACCTCGCTGTCCACCGACGAGCTGGAGAAGCAGCTGCTGCAGCAGAGCAACGAGCTGCACCGGCTGCAGGGCCGCAGCAGGTGGGCGCTGGACAGGCGGGTGGGCTCTCGAGCTGGGGACCAGGGGTGGGCACAGAGCCAGGCTGGGTCTGGACCCTCACGGAGCATGGAGCCTAGGCTAACGGGGGGGGGGGGGGGGGGGGGGGGCAGGGGCTGGGTCCTGGACAGGGCTGAGGCCCAGGGCTGGGTCCAGGCGGCCCTGGGCCAGGCTCCCCTGTATCGTGTGGGCAGAGAAGAGGCGTGTCCAGGGTTTGGTCGCCTTGATACTTTTCCTCCTTTCTTCCCTTCAATCTTTCATTGTCTTTCATTCTTCCCTTTCCCTGTCTTTACTTTATAAATTTTAACTGCTTTATTGAGATGAAATCTACGTACTCTGCAACCCACCTGGGAATTTTTAATTAGCTTTACCTATTGGTTTTGTTGTTGTTGTTGTTTGTTTTGGTTCTGGAACTTGGACCCAGGGATGCTTTACCACTGAGCTGCAGCTCCAGCCCTTTCTAGTTTTTATTTTGAGACCAGGTCTTGCTGAATTGCGGAGGCTGGCTTGGAACTTGCCATCCTCCTGCCTTAGCCTCCCAGATGGCTGGGGCGACAAATGTGCACCACTACCCCAGCTCTGGCTTCACTTATTTGTAAATAAATACACCCAATTCCATCCGTCTGATCACCTTCCCTGAAGAGACCAGTGAGCAATTTCTTGTCTGCAATATCAGAGAGTTCTTGCATTATATGCAAATATGCTTCAAGGGCACACCCTTTAAATTACAAAGGTAAAAATCGACACAGGTTATAGATAAAGCAGAAGGATCTGACTTCTGAGGCCTGATTTTATCTTGGTTTGGAGTTAAGTGGAGAAAAAACTGCCAAGGTCAGAGTTCTCAGGAGGGCCAATCTACTCACTGAGTAAGGCATCGACCTCTCCAAGGGGCCAGATGTTGCCGAGTGCTGGCCGGGACACATCACATCACAAGATCATCCACCCCCTCTGATCTGGGTACAGTTAATGGCGGTTCTTATAGCTATTCTCCCACCCCAAGGTCTAGGTGGCAAGAACTGGGACATTTTCAGTTACTCTGGACTCGTTATCAGGTGCCTGAGAATCAGTGCAGACAGAGAATGTTATCGATGAGCCTTGATCCACAAAGACAGCGAGAATCCTAGAGCTTCAGCACCCAAATTCTCACTTCCTGCAGCATAATTTGGGGCCTGAGGAAATTCCTTCTGCCCTGGCTGAACTTATTTCTGTCTGTAGAATGGGTCAGGACAACTGGATATAGAGTCAAATGTCCCCTCCCTCAGCCACAAACCCACTAAAGCCAGTGACCACCCGCCCATCCCTCGCTTCTTATAAGTCCTCCCCTGCTTTTGGTCAACAAGTATTTTTTTTTGTTTGTTTGTTTGTACCAAGGATTGAACTCAGGGGCACTTGACCACTGAGCCATATCCCAGCCCTATTTTGTATTTTATTTAGAAACACGGTCTCACTGAGTTGCTTAGTACCTTGCTTTTGCTGAGGCTGGCTTTGAACTCACAATCCTCCTGCCTCAGCCTCCAGAGCCACAGGGAGTAACAACAAGTACGTTTTGAGCCCTCCTTGTGCAGGCATGTAGGACCCTGCGGATTCATAAATGAAGGAGTCTCTGTCCTGGTGGAGGCTATTCCAGGGCTTCTTATGAATATGAAAATGTGCACAAGCCTCTCCCCCCACCCTTTTTAAGCCCCACTAAAGCACACTCCACATCCCACCCTATTTTTTCCCAGTTCCTTGGAAATGGCTCTACAACTGCATGACATGTTTGCTGGTTCTTTTCTCCAACTTCCCAATGTTCCAAAGTATTTATTTTCCCCCGTCCCCAATTAATGGACACTGAGGTTGTTTCTGTTTACAGTCTGCTGATCCAACCGGTGATAGGGTGACTAACACTTCCATATCTCATTTTACTCAGATGGGAGTAAATCTGGAGGATGAAATGCCAAAAGGGGAAGAGCTGAGTTGAAAGCTTTCTTTAAAAAAAAAAAAAATGCCTCTTTGTTTTTTAACCCATAACTTTGTGCTTGTTCTAATAACAGAGACCTGTAATAACATAAAAGTGAAGGGCTGGGGTTGTGGCTGAGTGGTGCAGTCCTTTCCTAGCATGCAAGAGGTCTGAGGTTTGATCCCCAGCACCACTCAAAGAATAATAATTAAAATAAAAATGAAAGTCAGCCCTGCCCACCCTGCAGAAGTCAGCAGGGTGGGGACATTCTTTCCCATTCTCTCGTTATCGGGTATCCGCCAGGGTCTTTCCACTCTTTCCCCCATATGTTCACCCGTATCTCTCTATATTTCCATGAATACCTTTGTTCTTTTTTATACCATCCAACACGTGGTTAGAACTAGAGGTGGTTAGAACTAGAGGCAATGGCTAGGCGCAGTGATACAACACCTGTAATCCCCGAGACTCAGGAGGCTGAGGCAGGAGGATCGCGATTTCAAAGCCAGCCTCTGCAACTTAGCGAGGCCCTAAGCCACTTCTTTTCTCTTTTACTAGCAATCTCCCAAGGCATCCTGGCCCATGCTCCCTGGAGGCTATCTCCTGAGACTGGACTGTGGAGTCAGAGGACAAGCATATTTGGGATTTAATAATGACTGTCTGATTGCTGCTGTGCCCCCCCCCCCCCACCTCCGATCTCTTTCCTTTTCTGGATCCCAAACCATACTACTCCGGGGCCGGGTCTCTCCTTCCTCCCTTCCTCCGTCTGGGCTACGTGGGCACGTGGGCACGGACTGCGGGGCAGTGTAACCCAGAACCGGACGCTCCTTCTCTGAGCCTCCCCTCAAGCCATCTGTGCGTGCTCTGCGGACGACGGGCTCACCCCGTGCGCCCCGCTCCGCAGCGCGCTGGAGACGCGGTTGCAGGCCCTGGAGACGCAGCAGCAGGAGGACCTGGCCAGCCTCCGCGAGGAGAAGGAGCAGCTGCGGCGCCTGCTGGGCAGCCACGGCGACGCCCTGGCCGTCCTGGAGCGCAGCCTGCGCCTGGCCAGCAGCAACTCGAGTCTCCTGCAGATGCAGCAGCGCCAACTGCTGGAGTCGGTGCAGCGCCTGGTGCACGTGATGGCGCAGGGCCCCGGCGGGAGCACGGCAGGTGAGCGCACCCGTGAGTGGGCGGGGCGCGCTGCGCGGAGAGGAGCGGGGTGGGGGGGGGGAGGCTGGCACACATCAGGGGTACGGCCCACCCACCCCGACTGTAAAATAGAAAGAACAACAGCGGTGAAAATAACAGCAACAGCAATCCTAAAAGAAGCCAGTGGAAACTCTGCCCGACTTCACCGTGACCCTGGTTAGGCCCCGCTCCCACTCTCGGCCTCAGTTTCCTCATCTGTTTATGGAGTGATGATCATAACCAGGGCGTCATAGCCCAGACTGCAAGTTTGGGTTCCAGGATTCACTCTCCACCCCTCTTGCCTGGGCCTGCCCTGCCCTGGGCCTCGGTCTCCCTATAGAACGGAATGGGGAAGTCGATGTAATGCAGCCCAAGGACTTCTTTCCCACTAACGCCCCTGCCTCTGGCCAACAAGATGAGGAGGCATCCCTGTCCTCCTTGAGAAGCGACAGCAATGCCTGGGGCTGCTCCTCAGCATTTGAGGTGGCCAAGGCCTTCCTGTCTCTGGCTTCCAGCAGGCAAGCAACCAACTGTTTGTTGAGCGCCTACTGTGTGCCAAGCCCAGTGCTGGGGATACAGCAGGGCACAGCCCAGTCATGGCCCCTGTCTCTTGCAAAAAGTCCCGCCCCCCTCTGTGTGTCTGAGAGAAGGAGAAGGAAGCGCATCTTCATGGTGGCTGCTAGGAACCAGGGAGTGCGCCAGCAGAGTTCCTGACCTTGCCCACCTTAGAAGGCCTAAGGGGCGGTGCCAAGGAGAAGGAGCTTTAACCTGAGGCCAGCCAGGAGCACAGGGGGAGTTGGGACGGGGCGGGACTCCTTTTAGAAAACCCGGACAGGAACCAGAGAGGGGAAATGAGTTAGAAAGACAAAGAAGGGGCTCCCTCTGCGGCCTGCCGTGGGGGGACAGGCAGCTGTGAGGCAGGAGTCAAGCGAGGAGGACGGGATTGCAGTTGCCACAGCTGACAGGGATTTGGGGACAGAGGATCCCGCTGTGGCTCCATCCTCGGGTCAGCAGTTCTAAGAAAGCCACGGGCAGGAAGAGTGGACCCTCCCAGGCCATAAGATGTGGAGTGACCAGAACCCACTCCGGCCTGGGCCCAGCTGCCAGCCAGGCTGCCTCGGGGAGTCCCCATGTGTGTGTTGCTTGTCGCTCAGCCCAAGGCGCAGGGCCGGGCTGGACCTCTCCCTGCGGCTCACTGCTCGCCCAGTGTCCGGCCTAGGGGGAGGGTGTGCTGGGCACCCTTTGCCAAATACCCTGTCCTCTTGCTCCCCCGTCACCAGCAAAGGACACTCGGGAGCTGCTCTTGCCGTCTGCCTAGACGGAAAAACTGATAAAGAGGAAGGGTCACCAGGTAGAGCACAGGTGGAGGCGGGCACAGGAGCCAGGCACCCTGAAGCCCAGCAGGAAGGGGGGCGCCCCTCTGCAGCTTTGTCCAGGGGGCAGAGGTTGGGGAAGGAGGGGAGAGTGGTTTCCTGGTGTCTCGGGGATCTGGTTTGGCAGGTTAGAGGGACAGGGATGCAGGAGGGAAAGACCTGGACTGGGCCCTCGTAAATGCATGGTGTAAATTCCCCACCTCCTCGGGGCTCAGAGGTGGAGGCTGCTCACAGGTGGGCAGTGGAGACCCCTGCCCAGGAAATGTTATGCACTGGCTGGGGTGGATTTGGAGACCTAGTTACCTCGATTGTGATATGGGAACAACAGCCTCCTTCAGACAGGTGCCCCAGAGCCAGGATTTGGGGAGATTTGTTCATGTGTGAAGCCCAAACAGGAAGTCCCACCCCCTGGTAGCCTTCTGGTTCTCATTGGTGTTGAACACCTATTTCTCTGGTACTTCAGTCCCATCCTGGCCTCCACAGAGAGATCCGGTTCTGGTAGAATCACAGCCCAAACCTCTAATTGGGTCCTACTAATTGAACCAGAGAGAGGATTTAAAATCTCTGCATTTTAGCCAGGCATGGTGGCGCATGACTGTAATCCCAGCTACTGGGAAGGCTGGGGCAGGAGGATGGCGACCAGGTTGGAGGCCAGCCTTGTCAACTTAGTGAGACCCTGTCTCAAGATAAAATAAAAAGCTCTGGATGTGGCCCAGTGGTAGAGCACTTGCACAGCATGCACGAGGCCCTGGGTTCGACCCCTAATACCATGAAAAGAAAGAAGAAGAAGAATTTTTTTAAAGGCATAAGTCTCTGTATTTGATTCATAGTTTATTTTTCAGGCCAGACTTGGAGGCCCAAGGACTCTGGTGGTTTCTGTCATTAAATTAATGCTCTGTTGACCCCAGAAAAACAGTCCAGAGGGAGGAGGCCCTTGATGGCCAGTGGTCAGCTCCAGAGAAGACTGAATGTGGAGCCGCAGAGAGACCAGCTGAAAGGGAGGGCGGGGAGGGAGCCAGGGCTTCCCGCTCAGTGGAGCTCCAAGAAGGGAGGGCTCTGTCCGTCTCCCCTCCCCCATGTCCTTGGGCCAGTCACCTCCCCCTGGACCCCACCCTGCTCTGAAGGGCAGCAAACTGGGAAGTACCTCCCTAGGGTGCCGGTGCCCATTTCCCTCTCCCCAAAAGCAGAGCAGCCTCCCCTGGAGGCTCCCCTCTCAGAGGCTCAGCCTCCAGCCCTGCTCCACTCTGACCCTGCGGCTCCTCCTCAGCCCAGGGGTCGGGGCTGTTCAGCCTGGTGCTCTAGGCCGGGGAGACTCATCTCCTTTCTGCCCTCTCTGCTCCTCCCCCTCCCTCACACAGCCCAGCTCTGATCTTGGGGCGTGAGTCACTGTCCTTCCCTGGCCTTGGCCCCAGGCCCCCTGTCCTCATCCCTTGTGTCCCACGCGCACACACAGGACTGTTCCCACCTGGGGGCCTCTGCCCCCGCGGTTCCCTCTTCCTGGAACTTCTCTTCTCTGCCTGGACGACCCCTGTCATTGTCCCAGCTCCCCATCGCCTCCCGCCCTCCACCCCTCCCCCCTCAGAGCCTGCACAGAGCGGGCAGGGTGTCCCCGCCTGTCCTTGCTCACCTCCAGCTGACTTTTGTCCCCGGGTAGCCCCCATGAGGGCCCCTGAGCAGGTGTTCCAGGACTGCGCCGAGATCCACCGCTCCGGAGCCACCGCCGACGGCGTCTACACCATCCGAGTGACCAACGTCTCGGAGCCCAAGAAGGTGGGTGCCTCCCGGGGGCTGGGGAGCAGAGGGCACCGAGCTGGGGCTCCCCAGGCAGACCCCAGCAGCTTCGGGCTTTTCAACCATCCAAGATGCCAGTGGAGGTGGGGGTGCCCGACCTTTGGGGGCCCCCCAGTCAGGGGTCCGATCAGGAGGTGAAGGAAAAGTTCCCAGAGCACCTCCTGCAGGAAATGGTTGTGTGGGGAAGGGTGGTGCAGCAGGTAGAACTGAAATGCCAGGGCTTAGCATCTCCAGCTCACAGGGGTCCCACTGAAGGCAGGAGCTGGGCTCTGCTCCCCTGGGAAACTGGCCCCTGGGGCTCATTTCAATGAGGGGCTCCCAAGGTGTCCTGAGCTTTAAGCCCAGTCGCCTGGTGGGAAGGGGTGGGAGGAGAACAGGGGGTCAGGAGGGAGGGCTCGGGACAGCCCAGAAGAAGGAGGGCATGGGAGCAGGTGGCCATGTCCTGCTCCGTGATCCTTTCAGCCCCCAGAGTATGTGAGGGACAGTGGCTCAGATCGTCTGCAAACTGTCTTCAGCACCTTCTCACATACCTGCTCACAAAAGAGACCAAGCCCAGGGCCCTGTGTGGGCACAGACTCCAGCTAGAATCCCATGACATTATTTCTTTCAGGAGATTTATGGATTAGTACCAGGGATTGACCCAGAGGCGCGTGACCACTGAGCCACATCCCCAGTGAGACAGGGTCTCACGGACTTGCTTAGGGCTCACTAAGTTGCTGAGGCTGGCTTTGAACTTGCAATCCTCCTGCCTCAGCCTCCAAGTCACTGGGATTACAGGCATGGGCCACCGTGTCCAGTTTATTAGATTTGTTTTTTAAATCATTTGAATAGAGGCAAGTGTTACTAGTTTTCTATTTATGGTACTGGTAAGATTTCCTTTTAAAATATTTTTAACCTAAGCATTTATTTAAATTTTTTTAAAAAGGATTCCATTTTTTAAAGTAAATATACTGTGTGAAAGTAAGTAAATTCCACAATGTGGCATTGTAGAAGGTGGAATGACTGAGATTGGGGACAGTAATAGGGAGGAGCTTGTCTGGGCGATGAGACACCAGGGCTCACACCTCAGCTTTCCTTTTTTTTTTTTTTTTTTGGTACTGGGGATTGAACTCAGGGGCACTTGATGACTGAGCCACACCCCCAGCCCTATCTTTGTATTTAGAGACAGGATCTCAACAACTTACTTAGGGCCTCACTAAAGTGCTGAGGCTGGCTTTGAACTCGAGATCCTCCTGCCTCAGCCTCCTGAGCCACTGGGATTACAGGCGTGTGCCACCACACCCAGATTCAGCTTTACTCTTGACTCACTTGCCGGAAGCAACTGCTTCCCCTCTTTGAGCCTCGGAGTCCCTTCCTGTACCCACTGCTACCCCCAGAACAGGTGCCACAACTTCTCTTGGGCTGTTCCCATCTTGCAGTCTCTACTCCTGTTTCATTTTTCCCTGGAAACACCATCCACCTGTCACTCTCTGGGAGTCTCATCATCATTCAATGCTTTGTTCTGACACCACCTCCAGGGAGCCTTCCAAGATTGCTGAGTGACTCCTTCTGGAGTCACTTCTTGGGACCTTTTCCAAGAAGGAGGACCTACCTCTAATTCATAGTTGCCCGGATGTTCACAGTCAATAGTCTGTCTGGGCTACTGTACCCTCCTCCACACTGAGCCAGCCCTGACGGCTGATTGACCTCTGATTCACTGATGACTTATCCAGTCCAGACACATATTCATTGAACATGGAACAGGCACAGAACTGGCTGGAAAAGTAATCTGTCCACTGAGGTCGGCCAGGAAGGCCTAGCTGGGATAGACGGCAAGCTCTGAGAGGGAGGATTCTTTTGATCTTATCTGTATCGGCATCCCCAGTGCCTCCCGCCAGAAGGTGTTTGGGAAACCTCTGCCCGCTGCTTGACGGTAGCGACTTGCATCTCTGAGTCCACACCAGGGACTTCATGCTGCGGCCTTAGTCCTCGTAGCAGCCCCGCCACAATAACGCAGGCCCAGTCAGTCCTCGTGTCCCCAGCACGTCGCAGACTTGACCCCTCTCATTCTCGCTGTCACACCAGTGTGCCCAGGAGGCAGGGGACCACACAGTGAAGGTGTCAACGCCCGCCTTTCACAAACAAGGAGAGAGGGGTTCTGAGGCCTCCCCTACCTGTCAGTCACTGTAGAAAATGATGACAGCCCATGGGCATTGCAGCCTGGATCTGGCGGATGCCCTTGACTGCCTGGTTTGCTCTGGACTTGGAGGGGCTTCCGGCTGCCCCCGTGGGATTCCAGCTGCTCCCCTGTCCCCCAGGTGTTCTGTGGCATGGAGTCCAACGGAGGCGGGTGGACCATCATCCAGCGCCGTGTGGATGGCAGCGAGGATTTCCAGCGGAGCTGGAAGGAGTACAAAGAGGTGACACTGCCACCTGGGGAGGGGCTTTGCAGCCAGAGGGGCTGATGCGGCTCTCGGGGGTGTGCCTTCTCCCCTTCCCAGAAAAAAAAAATCCCGCTCTTCTAGAGCCAAACAGATCTTGCCAGTGCATATTCACTTTCTGGAACCCCATTCCCTGGAATTGAACCGGCTTTTTGAAGTTTCTGATATATGTCCTAAGATTGAAAATTTAACTTTATTTTGTTTCAACTTTTAGGAAAGGTAATATAGGTGCATTGCTTAAAAAATTGTTCCAATGTAAAATGGAGGAGACAAAAGAAAATCTCCCCACCCACCTGGTATATTGCTTAATCAGATGTCCTTGTCTTTTTACACATTGATGGCCACATCTTAAAGACCAATTCTTTAATGTGAACTGCTGGCTCGAAGCCCACATGCAGTGTACAAGATGAGGAGTGTGTCTGCTAGTCTTTCCTTTTTTTTTTTTTTTTTTTTTAATTGAATTTTGAGTGAAGGATTTGGGGCAAGCTGACTTAAAAACCCTTAAAAGTTTTCAAAAGTAAAATATTATTTGCTTGCAGTTCATTGGATAAATACTTAAAATAAATACATTGGATATAAATTTATGAATGTTCTTGTATCTATTGATATTTTAAAAAACATCTTTATAAAATGCTAAAGATGCAGGGCTGGGGTTGTGGCTCAGAGCTAGAGCACTCGCCTAGCATGTGTGAGGCACCGGGTTCGATCCTCAGCACCACATAAAAGTAAATAAACAAAAAAAGGTGTTGTGTCCATCTACAACTAAACAAAAAAAAATTTTTTTAAATGCCAAAGATGCAGAAACACGCGCAGGAGTGCTGAATACTAACCCTTTGCGGCACTGCTTGATTCAAGCGGGGGGCGGGGCTTAGGTGTGCCCCTGTCCTTGGTGCTGAATTATCTTTCTGCCAATGGCGTTGGTTGTTGTCACGAGGGACAGGATACTCCTTGCGCTCTTAGCTTTACATTTCTACCTTGCAGAGTGGCTCTGTCAGTGAACAAAGTTTGTTCTGCCATCTAGGTAGCAGATGAAGTTTTAAATTTTTTTTAACCGAGGTTTGATATCCATGCAGCCAAGTGCACAGGTTTAATAAATAATTAAGTGTACACCTCAATTAACTTTCACACATGTATTCACCCATCTGACCACCATTCAGAGCTAGACAGACAACCCTGCCAGCACACAGAAACCCCCTTGTGCCCCCTCCCAGTCAATATTTCCCCAAAGGTAATCACTGTTCTGTTGTCACCAATTATTTTTGTCTGCTCTTGAACTTCAAAAAAATGTGATCTCAATTTTTTTTTTTTTTTTTTTTTTTTGTGGGGGGGAGTGGTCCTAGGGATTGACCCCAGGGGCACTCAACCACTGAGCTACATCCTCAGCCCTTTTTGTATGTTATGAGACTCAGGTCTTGCCAAGTTGCTTAAAGCCTCACTAAGTTGCTGAGGTGGCTTTGAACTCACGACCCTCCTGCCTCAGCCTCCTGAGCTGCTTGGATTACAGGCCTGTGCCACCATGCCCGGCTCTCAATTATTTTTAATGGGCTTTTACTTTGACAAGTGTCTGAGTCTACTTCCTCGGGGATATGGGGGCTGCCCACTCCTAGGTCCAGTTCACAAGGGGTCAGTGAACTCGACCCCTTGGCCCAGTGGTCTTGGATAAGGGGATGCAGAGCCTGGCCTAGCCCAGCTCCTCAGCCAGGGGTGTGTCCCTTCCTCCCCGTAGGGTTTCGGAAACCCAGCGGGGGAATACTGGCTGGGCAATGAGGCCGTCTACCAGCTCACCAGCAGGGCCACCTACTCTCTGCGCGTGGAGCTGGAGGACTGGGAAGGCCAAGAGGCCTACGCCCAGTACGAGCGATTCCAGCTGGGCAGCGAGGCCCAGTTGTACAGGTAGGTGGGCTGGGGCCCGGGCCCGCAGGTGGGCTGGGGGTGCTGGGCGAGTGGCCGCCGAGTCCGCACCAGGGGTCAGTCCCTGGCCATCTTCCCATTCTCACCATCTGTCCCCCATTTGAGCGTACGTCACGGGATTTGGAGGCGGTTGGTTAGCACTCAGCAGTCCTGGCCACAGGGTGGGGTGGAAAAAATGTCACTGACGCCATCTCAGAAGCAGGAAGGGGCCTTCCAAGGTCACTCACCCCAAGTCACTCATTTTACAAAGACTCAGCAGGAGGGACTTGGCCAGTCTGTCCTATGCCCCGGGGTGAGGTAGAAAGGTCCCTGTGTTGGGAGGTGGGGGACACAGGCCCTTTCTGGCACTGCTGCTCATGAACTTGGACAAGTCCAGGCCGGTTTCTCTGAGCCTCTGCTTCTTCAGTGGGCTGGGATGTGAGGATGTTGTGAAACCAGAAGAGGTTTCCGCACCCCTTCCTCGAGCTTGTTTCTGGTGTGTGTAAGAAAAGGAAGGAGCATTTATTGAGCACCTACTGTGTTCCATGCACTCTATCAGATCAGCCTCGAACCCTCGGAGGTAGAGTACCTGCTTTAGTAGTATGGAAACCGAGGTGCCAAGCTCAGGTCCCTTGCCCAAAATGACAAGCTACATAGAGCCTGGATAGGACTCGGGCCTCCCTGCTGCCAAACCACACCACGGTAAGGCCATCATATGATAAGTGTTATGTAAAAGGTGGAGACATACAAACAACGTATTCAAAGACAGAAGCATGACGTTTCCAGAGCTCCGTCTGTGCTGTCTGTCCACCATTCCAGCGTGGGTGTGGGTCTGGACCCCGCCGTGCTCTCCTGTTGGAATTGGAGGAGCTCCTCTGGCTTTTCATCTGGCCACGGAGCTCCCTGCCCATGGCCTCAGACTGTGAGGCTCAAGGCTACAAGAACTGACCCTCTGCAGAACCTGAATGACAGGACCACACGCAGCCCGGCACTGCTCATTTGGGAAGGAATCAGGCCCAGGCCCCGCCCCCTCAAAGTGCTCCCAGTCCTGTGTGGGGTGTGGGCATGTTCACAGGCCACCGGTGCCCCTGGGGAGACAGCAGGGGCTGAAGGGGGCGTGGAGGTGTCGTGCCGTCAGAGAGGACCCCAGGAGAAGGTGACGCCTGCAGTGCGTGCATACTCTCCAGAGTGGGTTAGAAGAGCACCCAGGCAGCAGGAATGTTCTGAGAAAAGGCAGAGTTGGCATGCAGCCGGGTCACACGTGCCCGGAACCTGCCAGGGCTGCTGGGACCTCACGGGCTCATTCAGGAAGAGCCCAGGAGACTGGGGTTGGGGATACAGGAAACCAAAGGGTGGCCTGGAAACCGCCAGAAGAGGGTGGGAGGGGGAGGACGGCAGATGCCCACCCTCCAGGGTCAAGGGGATGCTGAGGAGGAGAGGGTCCCCACGAAGAAGCCAGAGGCAAGGGTGCTCAGGTGGCCGGTCAGCAATGGGGAGTGGGCACCAGGGTGGCAGGGGCACTCTCTCCTGCCAGATGCAGTATGGGGTCCTCGTGAAGCCCAGCTGGGGTGCTGAGCATGGAGGGTGCGGGCATAGGAAGCGACCCCCAGGAGGGCTGGGGGCACAACCAAGGCACGGCTTGGCATGGGGCAAGGCGGGAGGGACAGACACCAGAGGCACACACAGGCCCGGACCCAAATACAAGTGCAGAAAACACAACCACCCAGGCGCCGTGGAGGGGCTCGCCCCAGCCCTGCAGGACACACACGGGCCTATAGAGCGCACACGCACACGCGTGCACACACAAACACACATGTGCATAACTGCACAAACACGCACACCCCAAACAGGCACACGGTGGGACATGTGCCAATGGGCCTCCTAAAAGCCCTTGCAGGGAAACACACACACACACAGTCCCCGGTGGACACAGGGACAGAATCTAGAGCGCACACTCGGGCCCAGGCCAGAGGCTCCAACACAAGCACCAGCAATACGCCCATGAACAGAGGCTCGAGGAACCAGATCCAGATCCAACGACAGGCGCTCAGGGCTGCACAGATCCCTGGGCCTGGGAAACACCTCGTGGGGATCCCCAAGAGACCTGCGTATTTAGGTTTTCTTGGGCCTGAACCATGAGGTGGAGCCACCAGAGGTCACAAGTCCTCATTCCGGCTTCCAGAAGAGAGGGGCTCCCATCCCTGAGCCCTCAGGGAAGCCCCGGATGACCACAAGGAGAAGCCAGAACCACAGGAGTGGGGGACAGCCTGTGAGTCCCCACCCAGGGACCCCCTAGTGGGAGGCCTCTTGGCTGCACCAGCCCCACCAGCCCAGGGCGCCATGTTCAAGGGCGTGGTGAGGGCGTCATGGTGCACAGCCATCTGGACGCTGAGGACTGAGCCAGCCACAGACCCAGGCCCCTCGTTCCCTCGGGTCCCATGGGGGCCTCTCCCAGATCCTCCCCTGGAGAGCCAGAGCTTCCTTAAGCCACCCCAGCCACTTGCCACCACCTGTAGGAACTTCTGAGTTGCTCCCAGCCCAGCTCCTCCCCTCCGCTGCCCGCGGGGCCCCTTTCGGTACCAAGCCTCTGACGTTCTCCAGCCAGACTCAGGATGTGCCAGGGGACCAACAAGTGTGTGGAACACACACCACGTGCTGGCGCCGCCCTGCAGCTACCCATACTCGGCCCTCCACGGAGTCTGGCAAAGACGTACAAACCCGCCCACCCCTCTGGCTGCAGAGGTCGAAGTCACAGGGCTGGGGACGCCCTGGGCACAGATCTGTGGGTGCTGGTGGGGGCAGGGAGGACTTCCTGGAAGAGGTGGCTGCACCTGGCACCAGCCCTTGTTGATTTTAGACCTGGGCAGGAAACTGGCTCCCAGGGACCCCACTCCTGGTATGTGAAAGGGTATCCTGAGGTTCAAATCAGAACAAGTTACCCAGACAAGGGCTTTGAACAGTGCCTGGCACATAGTAGGTGCTTGAGAAAACATCAGCCTTTGTCCTTGTTCTGATGCCCCTTGCTCCTCTCCAAGACCAGGTTCAGTGAGAGGAGGAGGTCCTGCATGCAGAAGCCACTTTGTCCCCAGAGGCAGCAGGCAGGGAGGGTGGTCAAGAGGGAGAGTGGCCAGTGATCAGAGACCCAGCCTTGGACAAAGTCCCCAGGGAGGCCCCCCAACCTGACTCTGGCCCTTCTCCAACACCACCTCGGTGGCTCCAGGATTTCTCTGTCTGGGTACAATGACTCCGTGGGGCGCCAGACCGGCCTGTTCCTTCAGAGCGCCAACTTCAGCACCCGCGACGCAGACAACGATAACTGTGTCTGCAAGTGCGCCCAGCTGATGTCGGGAGGTGAGCGCACCCACCAGCCCGGCTCAACCCGCACCTCCCAGCCGGGCACCTCCTCCGAAGCCTGGCACTGCCAGCGTTCCTCAGGAGGCCTGCTGGAGGAATGCTGAAGGCGGGCACAGTGCAGGGGCAGCCCCAACCCTGGCCTCAGAACTCCCCTCCCCCAGGCAGGCAGGAGAGGACCAGGGAGACCGGGGCAGCTCGCCACCAGCCCTCGCTCGGGCAGGGCTCCTTGGCAGGGACAGAAGTCAAAGAGTGGGAACAGAATGGGCAAGAGACAGGGAGCCGGGCACAGAGGCTCACACCTGTCATCCCAGCAGCTTGGGAGGCTGAGGCAGGAGGATGGCAAGTTCAAGGCCAGCCTCAGCACCTTTGTGAGGCCCTAAGTAACTTGTTGGGAACCTGTCTCCAAATAAAATAAAATGGGCTGGGGTGCATCTCAGTGGGTAAGCACTCCTGGGTTCAATCCTTGATAGGAAGGAAAAAAATAGGAGAGACAGAATGGGAAGGCCTTACAGAGACCTAAATCCCAGAGACAGGGACAGAGAGAGACACCAAGACTGATAGTAAGAGGAGGGTGGGGACAGTGACACAGGGACAGAGAAGCCAGAGGGAGAAATGGAAAGAGAAACCCAGGAGTCAGGGAAGGGGGCAGCAGGGACCAGAATCAGAACCTATCAGAGAAAGAGGACCAGCCGGAGAGAGTCACCGGGAGAGGGGACAGGTCCTGTGTGTGAAAGGCTCAGAAAGAGACGGAGACCCCTGGAAACCGATGGAAAAGGGAGGGGTCGCTAGGAGTCCAGACGATGGAAGGTCGGAGCGTGGATGGGACTCAGCGGGAGAAGGGGGAGCACAGAGGGGCGGGGTGGGGCCCCACTGCCCTTCAGAGGTCCCAGCTGCGCAGAGCCCAGCCCCTGCCCACACCCAGCCCCTGCCCATCACAGCTCCCCGCCAGGAGCAGCCTGATCCAGCTTTGTTCTTTTGGGGGGGCGGGGTCTGCCCTCACCCCACTGGCAGGACCCCCACTCCCCAAAGCTCTGATCCCCCTCTTCCCCCAGGGTGGTGGTTTGACGCCTGCGGCCTCTCGAACCTCAACGGCGCCTACTACCAGAACGGCCAGCACCTGCGCAGGATGGACGGCGTCCGCTGGCAGTACTTCCGCGGCCCCGGCTACTCGCTGCGGGCCGCCCGCATGATGATCCGACCCGTGGGCGGCTAGTGAGCGGCTGCGCCCCGAGGGACCACACAGGGGAGCCCCGAGGCGGATCCCCGGACAGCCTGGACCGCGTGGGACACAGAGCCTGGGCTCGTCACTCCATACCCGGGACCACCCCTGCCCGGGTCACCTCCTGGAGTCGCTGCGTCCTGACTCCCTTCAATCTGTGACAAGGGGGATGGGGGTCCTCATCCCCCTCCCCTGCCTCCCGCAGGGACTCCTGGCCACTCGGGGTCGTGGCCTCCCCAATGAGTAAAGGACAGAATAAACTTGGCTTCTCAAAGGAAGACCCGGCCAATGGGATTGGTGGCAGCCGGCAAAGGAATTTTCCGGGAACAGTCTGGCTTCTGTGCCCTGGGTTGGCAGGGGCATCTCCTGCTCCAAGCTCCTGTCCCAAGCTCGCCTGGCCTTGACATCTCCTCGAGTCTTACTTTCAAAGCTGA